TTATCTCTGAGTTTTGTTGTATAAAGCTAGGAATTTGAAGAAGACAAGAAAGCAGCATAAAGTTCTGTGAAAACTGGGACAGAACCTGTACTTAGGTATCCACAATGAAATAGTTACTGTCGTTTCAACAATAGAAAGTGAAAAAACTGCAGAGAAAGAAACATCACTGTAATTTTTTTAGCTGGGGACCTTAACAGCTCTTACTCCTGGAGATCACTCCTTTGAAAGTTGCAAGACACAAAACCTGCTTTTTCTTTTTTTAGGTAACAACTTGCATTGATTGGAATAATCTTGTGCTAAAACAATGGCACAGGCAACACTGGAAATGTATTAAGTGACTCTACTGTCACTAGTCTTCTAACTATATACACATTAAATGTTTACTTTACAGTATTTCTTTTAGTATAATGAGTTCATTAAAAAAAGCTTTTGATGCTAATTCAGAGATCCATAATCTGCTTAGTGTCTTTCACATGTAGTTTTGATGATAACTGACAAGCTGTAAGTTAATTAGCGCAGAACTTACTAATGAGGATGCTAAAATCCTTACTTTAACATTTTTATTCATGATTTTTGAACAAATTGAAGTAAATTCAATTGTATATCTAATAAGTTTTAGGAACTTTCTGGTTGTAGGTGCTGATCATAAGCAACAAAAATCCCCCAATTAATTGAATGATAGGAAAGTTTTGAAAAGTTTGACAAGAGCGCTCGTCCTCAGAAATGGGGATAACCCAAAACCAAAGCAATAAAACAAAGTCTGTTAATTAGCATGGAAGACAGCTTCTTGAATTAATATGTGGTGTTAATTAACAGGAAGTCTGATGTTGTGTTGTAATTACCACCAATATTTTTGACATACTCAGTGACTGAAGGCGAATTATATAGATAGCAATTTAGTAAACATTTCAGAGCTTGGGAACATTTTTCCTTTGTTTCTGTTTTTCTAGAAATATGGATAGACTTCTGCGACTGGGAGGAGGTATGCCTGGGCTCGGACAGGTGAGTATATAGCTTGTCAATCTTTAATATTAAGCAATTCTGGAATATTTCTTTTGTTATATTTAAAAGCAGCATCAAAAAAACCCCATAGTTCATAGTAATAATATTTGACTCCAGAAATTGTTTATGTATATGTAAATCGTTGTTATAGCCTGACCTTTTTTTTCTTTTAGTCAGTATGAATTCGTGTGCTGAGTTTACATAACATTTATTAACCTTTCATTTGGTGTCTGAACATTTTAAAGTTTGAATTGAAAAGCACTGGAGACACATAAAATTTTTTAAAAATCAATTTCCAATAATATGGAATTTCAGAACGTGAAGAGTCTTCTAAATGGCAGAACGTATTCACTGCTCCTTCATAAATGATATATTTCAGTCCTTGAATCACATTGTGATGGGGCATTACAAGATACTGAAGTATATATAAATTTCAAGAGGTAATTTGAGCTGAATTTATCACTTGTAGGTACATGTAGCTACCTGTATGTGTGTTTTATTGTGTCTTCTCTTGTTGACTGTTGTCCTCACTACTGTAACATTACTCACAGCAAAAAGGCTTCCCTGGCAGCTGTCCCTCAGTGAAAGACCTATTCACACATTGTATGGCTTCTCCTGCCACTACAAGTCCTAGTCCTTGGTCAACTGGCATGGCCATCAGTCTTCAAAAATAAAACCAAGCTGATCACATTCCATGGTGCTGATCACTGTGGATACAGGGGGGAAAAAATAATTAGGAACTTCTTTGTTTAAGGTTTGTAGGAAGAGTTATTTCCCTAAGGAACGGGCTCCAGTGTTACTTCCTTTGAGGTCTTGGCTGGCTGTAGTAGCTGGCCTTTCTCTGCCTTCCTCATCTGCCTCCAGGGCTCTGTTCTAAATCAAGAATTCAGATTCTTATTCTTCTGGAAAAGTCAGTTCTGTGTGTCTTGGACTTCATGATGTGTGTGCCATGTTGCTTCTGGGATGACTGAAGTTGCTAAACCCAGAACTTCTTTGTGTGTAGTGCCTTTGTGTCCAGTATAACTACAAAGAGGGTTTAATACTGAAGCATTTGGTGAAATATTCTAGGTGGATTTACAAACTCTAGGTGTTTTGCCAAATAAGCTGTAACGTTTTGGTGCATAATTTTTTTCCTTTTTATAGCTAAAATTCTATTCACGCTCTCTTAGTGAATCTTCAAGCCGCCCTCAGTTATTTTTAGTTTCATTTTCTTAAACGGTTATTTCTCTTGTTCTTCTGAGCTGCCAGCCTGCTTCATGACTCTTCATTTTTTTAACATCTGTGCAGTCTAATCTCTCAAGCTTTCACTTCTTAGTCCTCTCTGAACTTGACGCATATCAAAGCTGTTTTTCAAATTTACAGTTAACTCTCTGCTGTTTTCTGAATTTTTCATCTTAAAGTTTGCTAGAAAATTGTGTCAGACAATAGAATATAACATTCAGAAGAAGCTCTGAACTCCTCTAGTAGCTTTGGCCTGCAAAGCTGCTCTGTGTGTGTTTAAATATGGAGTTGTCTCTTAAATGAGTTGATGAGTATGTGTTGGATTAAAAAAAAAAGGCAGAAAACTGAATTGCTCTTTATACAAGTTGCTGCTTGCACTGGATGTCTTGACTACTTTTGTAGTCTTTTGGTTTATTGAATCAGCAGGAAGGCTTTTAAAAAAAATATTTTTATATCCTTAAGTACTGTGTTTCAGTGGATCTTCAAAGGTCACTTCTGTTCTGAATATGAATTGATTAGTAATTGAGATTGAGAGATAGTCCAGAGGGAATCAGATGTCGTTGAGTTAGAAGAGAGAAGGCGGATACTTCTTGGATAAATTTGGTAGTGCTAGAAAATAAACGGTTATTACTATTTGTTTTCACTAAAGTGTTTTAAACAACTGTACAAGGCTTTTTGTTTTTTCTTATTGCTGTGTCACAGTTGTTCTGAGCTTTTGCTTTAAAGGTTGAACATAGTAAAAACATCTGAGTGAGTCATTCTTACTAGCATAAGAATCATCTATGTGTATAGTCTGGTAGAAAGAGGCATTTTCAAAGTAGTTTTATCACATAAGTTGGCCATTATTTTTTGCTTGTAGCTAGGGGTCTGCTTAGCAGGAGGACTGCATCACATAAGGTCTGCTGACAGTCCATTTGGTTTCTCTGTAACTGATGTTGAAGTAACAGCAGATGCTTGGCCAGCACAGTTCTTTTCTGATCTCTGCCAGGGCATTCTTTCTCATTGACTTGCTTTAACTTCTTCAGCTGTAGTTACTCGGTTCTTTCCCCTTGGTAAAAGTACCTCTTGTGATTATTATCTTGTTTAGGTTTCTTTAGTTATTTTTTTCTTCATTTCCAAACTGTCCCAGTTCACTGTCCGAAATGCTCTTTGAATTAACGTTTTTGCAATATTCTATTCAAGTGTTTTGGTGTACTGTATTCCACTTGAGAACTACTTTTACTGAACTTGTGTTTCTCTTTTCTTACTACTTGCTCCTTCAGGATGCTACTGAGTGGCTGATTGGCCTTCCCTTGTCCAGAGGTGGTCAGTGCTGAATCGCAACTGCCCTAAGCCTGTCGTCATATGGCTAACAAACAAATCTTTAAGGAAGTAGTCTTCAAGTGATATTTCAACAATAAGCTTTCCCTCCAGTGACTTGTGGCTTAGAAATATTGAGTCATCTCTTCTCTTTTAGTCATAGGTGGACAAAGGGCTGTCTTTGTGGGGCAGCAGGTGGACAAGAGAGAAAGGGGGAAGAGAACTTTATAGCTTTTGGCATTACATAAGCCATCTATAGTATTTTCTGACACTGCACTTGGTCATTAACTATGTGTTCTTTTTATGGGAAAGTACCTGTATTTAGTTTTGAACTTGATGCCAAAAATATGAACTTCTTTGGAACACTTCCTCATGCAGGAATTGTTTGTCTTACATGACTGGTGTTGTACACCTTGGAAATAACCTCTTATTGTGTTGAATTTCTGCTCTTGTGGTAAATGCATAAGATGAACGAATCACAGAGGCTTTTTCAAAAAGATTTAGGGGAACTGTAAAAGATTGAAGGTGTTGTGATGTCCCAAAGAAAATGCTTATTACATCCCTCCCTTGTAGTTAATGGAAATTAAGATTTTTGTAATGCCCTTGTTTTTCTTGTATGGTCATCTCTCTTTCTCCTCCTGCCCCTTATCATGTTGCGTTTATTTTTCAATTATATTCTCTTCCTGATATATTTCCATCTCTCCCTGTTCATCCCCCTGGAATACTGCCTGCCAAGAATTTCAGCAGTGATTTAGTACTTTACTTTGCATTGTACATTTGCTGCAGACAAATTAACAGGCTTTGTGGGGTACGTAAAAGCATTCTACTTATGTAGCAGGCAGGAATTTGGAGCAACACTCCTCTTCATTTTGTACGCTGAACTATTGTTTGCTAGTGAAATCAGTTCCACATATGCCTCTATTAGGCAGTCCTACTGAGTATTGTTAAAGGATGTGAGCAAATGAGGTGCATTTTTAGCCGAGCTTTCTCTGCCCATAACTTTCAGAACAATAGTCCAAGCAATACAAGTTCTTGTCTGTGCTAGCACATGCTGAATCCAGATGTGATAGGAAGCAGTGAAATGATGGCATGTCTTAAAAATGCTGTTGAAGTAATTTTTCATTACTTGATGGATTTTTGAAAATATTAATTTACAGTGCTCTGTTCATGCAGACAACTGTTCTAGTACAATAAATGAAAAATAAAACTCATTCTGTATTTTTGAATTAACATATTTGATGACAGAGGGGAAGGGAAAAAATCCAAATGGAAAGGGAGGGGGAGACAGAGAACTGACCTGTATCTTATAAGGAGTGTTTACACCTTGACTTGGAATATAGAAAATAGAAGTGCAGATAGCTATTTTATTTGAATCATGGACTTGCCAATTAGCCATCAAGTGCTTCCATCTGTGAAATAGTTGATCAGATGGGTTAGCTGGGATGTTTCCAGATTAGGGCATTGTAAATGGCACTTGAAAACTGTCACTTTGATTATGAGGTTTCAAGCATTGCACTGCTTGATGCTGTGGAACCTTTTTCCTCTTGTATGATCATGAGTTTTTTAGAACATGCTTATCCATTTAGTAAATCTGTGGCACCACAGGAACTTGGGAGACCTGCTGCTAATCTAAAGTTGTGTTTTGTCTGCTGATCGAGGCAGGATGGTTATTAGAGAAGAATACAGTGCACTCTTCTGCGGGACTTCTGCATAGGAGTTGGTGCTCTGGCAGGCAGAGAAGGGTCAGGCTCAGTGTACATCATTCCCAATTAACAATTACATGCAAGTTTCCTTGGATTACTTCATTAAGCTGATGTATCTCTTGAAGTACATGACTTGTTCTTGAGTCTTACATCTTCCGTATGTAAACAAAAAAACCACCAATAATAAAAATTCAAACCCAAAATTAAACCCAGACACCTCATCCCTCCTCACCAAAAACTCATCCAGGAACAAAGCATACATCTTACTGAAGATTGTTTTGTTTTACTGATTCTTGAAACAGGTTGTGTGTTAATCTGAAGGGTGCAAATCTGTTGTCTTTAATGAAGTTCTTTTTTCCTTGAAAAGCTGTAGAGTGTTCTTGTATCTCCGTATCTGTTGTACCTGTACTGCTTTATCCTTTCTGTATCTCCTGGGTGTATATGCTTTGTATGGTTTGAATTGTGGTGATACACTATTGTCTGCATCTCACATGTATTTGACACTTCAGATACGCCTTTTGAGAATTCTCTGCCAGGGTAATAAATCTGAATTAGAGCTTTTAAAATTGTGCATCATTTCTGTGCCATTGCTTCTGAGACATTTTCCAGCAAAGTTCTCAAGTACGAAGGATGTTACTATTTCTGGAATTCCAATGTAACTCCCAGTAGGTGAGATGGCGTACAATTTGGGCGGTTTATTTCAGTTCTTTTTTTCCCTGGAAGCTATCAACCCATTTAAAGAATAAAAAAATGTTCTCAGTGACAAGCATTTTTTCA